CCGCACCCGACAAGGACATGAACAAAATCAAGGTGAAAAAGAGCAAAGTGGAGGAGCGCTTCCAGCTCATCAAGCAGCCCCTCATCGGAAGACAGTGACTGCTGGAGAAGAAGAAGGAAGCCCTCCAGTTCGGACGGGATGTCGAGGACGAGCCTCTATGGATAGCCGAAAAAGATACCCCTGGCAACTTCCACGGAATACGGCAACAACCTGTCCCAAGTTAACACATTGCAGCAGAACAACCAGTCGCAGCAAACTGAAGTGGAGAACCACGAGGCGCGCGTTAACACCGCGCGCAACAGCGGGCAGAATTTGATCGATGAGGCGATAATAGACGAGCCAACTTGCTGAGGAACGAGTGGGCGCAGCAGTAGTGGAATATCGGGGCAAAGATGAGACCAGCGCCAGGAACTTCATGAAGAAGCACGAAAGTCTGGATGCGGCCGTTAAAACTTATGCGGACACCATCAGAAGACTGGGTGAAACTGTACAGGCCCTGTCGGCTGAAGGACATCCTTTGGCAGAGCAGGTCGCTGTTAAACAGTCGCAACTGGACAAGCTATATGCCGGACTAAAGAATTTGGCGCAAGAACGACGCGCTAAGCTGGATGAGGCCTTGCAGTTCTTCCTGCTCAACAGAGACGTTGGCGACTTAGAGCAGTGGATAGCTGATCGCGAAGTGGTGGCCTCTTCTCAGGAACTGGGCCAGGATTACGATCATGTCACTCTGCTATGGGAGCGCTTTAAGGACGCTTACGACACGGAAACCATTGGAAGTGAAAGAGTTGCGGGAGTCAACGACATTGCAGACTCCTTGATAGCTGCCGCCCATTCCCACCGGGCAACAATCGCCTAATGGAAGGACGGGCTGAACGATGCCTGGCAGGATTTGCTGGAATTGATCAAAACCCGAACGCAAACGCTTGCGGCTTCTCGTGAATTACACAAGTTTGTCCACGACTGCAAGGATGTACTCAGTCGCATTTTGAAAAAGCAGGTTGCCATGTCGGACGAACTCGGCCGAGATGCTGGTTCTGTTTCAACGCTGCAACGCAAACATCAGAAGCAGAATTGATGCAAGACTTGCAGACGCTTCAGAACCAAGTGCAACAGATTCAAGAGGAATCGGCCAAGCTAAAGCCAGCTATGCGGGCGATAGCGCGAAAGAGATTACAAATAGAGAACAAGAAGTGGTGTCTGCGTGGGCCAGTTTGCAAATGGTTTGCGAGCAGCGCAGAGGAAAACTGGGAGGAAAGTTCTTCAACCTGGTGAGGACGTTGATGCAATGGATGGACAACGTGGTGCGCCAAGTGAACACCAGCGAAAAGCCGCGCGACGTCGTCGGCGTTGAACTGTTGATGAGCAATCAGAAGAGCCCTCAGGCAAAATTTAAAGTTGTCCACATTCACCGTTTGGCCAGATATAACCATGATCCAGGAATTACCTAATCGGGGCGATCAGGGTTTAGAAGGGGGGCAGTGCAACGGAAATGGCGTGGGGTACTCACGTTTGAACTGGAGGGATCAAAATTCATGGTAGTAAATGGGAGCCCCATTTGCGCCCCATTTACTGTCAAATATGACACTGACAAGCGGGAAGTTTCGCATCTGTTCTAGAGGTTTCGAGGACCATCTGGGTTACCTGAAGGAAACTATATAAGCGGCGAGGAGAACCACAGGGGGGGAGTGAAGTGACAGCAGCGACCGGGTGCAGAAGAGGTTAAACCCCGCGAGTCGGAAGAGCGAGTTTTCCATCTGTTGTGATTGTTTGTGAAGTTGACGGTAAATTTGAAGTTAGTTTGTTCCTGTTCCGCATTTAAAGTTATACCTCGGTGAATAAAAGTTGAAAGCTGAAGAAATAGTTTGATACCCGGCCATCCACGGTACACTATTAAGCAAAAAGACCTTTTGGAAATCGAGATGATTAGCAGCATTATGAAAATTGTCTATTAAACTCTGACAAGTTGACAAATAACGATTCAAATCGTTATTTGTCATTCAATTTTCAATTTTTTCACATTTCAAGTATTGTAAAGTGTCTAGTAAAGGTCTAAATTGTCATCTTAAAACTACTTAAAATTTTGCTTGATAAATTATTGATTTCTTCCTTAGTTACTAATGGAACTTCAAGTAATCTTTTTGAGTTTTTAGTAGAGTCGGTTAAAGGGTTTTCGTTACTTTCGATAGATAATTTATTTAATTCTTCAATTATTGTTTCTAAATGCGTCATGAAACA